AAACATCTTCTAATAGTTATYCAAGTAACATGTATAAAATTCWGCTTTTRAAACAGTTACAATTTATTAAAGTTTAAGGGTGTCCGACAAGGGGTTGCCACTATATTAAGTGTCTGGCAATGGATGAGGTGATTTCTAATATTATTCCGAATAAAATATTAAAAAAATACGCTTTTTTATTTCATAATTTTAAGTTAACATTTTTTACTTCTTTGCTACCTGTTATCTCTCAAAGCTACGACGACCCAAACTTCATACTTGCCCATCGTTTCTACCTATGTTGGTAGTATGCGCTGACAAATTTTCAGCTTTTATCAAATGACGAAGGTCTGGCGACCGCAGGCTCTTGCTCTACCATGTTTAATCCTTTTGGGGGTGGAATTTCTAAAAATATTGAAACACATATTTCTTTACAAATACTAAATTTCATGGATATTACTTAACAATGAGTAATTTTGTTACAAATTTTCATCCCATGTTTAACTATACAGAGTGCGCCAGAACTCGCGTCCCAGAGAAAATTTTCAAGTAAGGTAAGATACCAGGAACATTTATTTTTTGACATTTGACATTTTTTTATATCTATTTAATGATACTGATGATCTTGTATATGTTTTTTTTTACAATTACTTAATAAAGGGACAAAAATTTTGCTAATAAAAGCCACAAATTCCGCTTTTAATAACCTATAGCAAAAAAACTTGGAAAATTATTTTTCCTACAGAAATAAATAGAGTCAAAGTGCAAACTTTAAACCCTCATAACTTCGAAATTTTTATAGATAAAAATTTTTTAACATTTTTTCCATGTTCCTGGTATCTTACCTTATATGGTGTCGCGAATGAAGTAACACAAATTATCTTCCCAAACACTTTAACGTTTTTTAAACGGGTGATTAAGTATTTCTCAAACACCAAACTTCTTCAGCTTAAATAATCTTTTCTAACATTCGGAGGGAGGCAATCATTAATAGCAAGCTAAAGACTCAAATTTTAAAATTTATTTAAAAATATTTAACAAATATTCGTTTTATAAAATGAAATAATAAAAATACGATACATGGACCTAATATCCTACGGCTAATAATAATTATGTATGAGAATATTTTTCGCATGAAGAAGTGTCGTCACCCAACCCAAATCGAGGGCAAAATGTTTTGGGTGCACTGGTACCTGTCACCCTCGGTTTCGTTATATTGCTTAGCGGCAACACTTACGTGAATACAGAATACCTAGTATTGCCTCCTCGAGCCTGGAAAGAAGCTCAATTTTTATTGTTGTTTCTCGGACATTAGAGGTGATTGTGATAATTAGAAATTTAATCAGTAAACAATGAATCTACACCAATTGCTTTTGAAAAATCCATAGTCGACTGAGTTACTTGATAATGCTACTATCCTATATCATCAATTTTAGTACTATTTTTAGAACTATTTAGCCTTTTTAAATCTGGAAGTTTAAGTGATGCGATAATTATGCCGGTCCGTGTACATGTCTTGAAACAAACTTGCAGGAGTAGTATAACAACATTGGTCACAAAAGCTAGCTCTCTTACATTATCCGTTTAGGAAGAGTTGATGTGGAACAGAGCGTTAACAGTGTCAATATATCTTAAACTAGAGCGCATTTTCACAAGGAAAATACAACTTTTAAGGTCCGACAGAAAAATGGAGATATTTTATTGTTTTAGTATGTAAACTACATAGTGGTCATCTTTTAAAATTTGAAATTTAACAAACTCAAAAAAGCCAGTTGTGTTAACAATTAATAATGTTAAAATTCTTCCAGTATGTATGTTGACATAAGGAACAGAGAGATAAATTATATTTGAATTTTGGTAATAATTTTTACTTTTCTTATCCTATAAGGAAAGTATTGTAATCGGCTAAAATTTGACCTACCTACATTTTTACATTTCTGAACGAATTATACTTCAAGACACTGAAAAAGTTGGTTTGGGCCATTGGGTCGTGTGTGTGTGTCTGTCTGTAAACAGCATATTTTGAGAACGATAAAAGCTAGAAACTTGAAATTTGGTAGGTAAGTTACTTGTAGCAAGGGGACGCAGCACGAAACAATTGGTAAAAATTGGTCGCACCGTTCGGTAGCAAAGACAAAAAATCGGCCGTAAAATTATACGGTTGAAGGTACAATAAATTCATTCAAATAAAAATTATTTATCTGCAAACGTCACAAAAGTGACCACTTTTATCACTAAATGACACAGGTAAAAGTTTTACTTTTCAGACATGAAAAACACTGTTTTTACGCCTAGGCGTTTTAACTTTTACTTGACACTTACTTTGACATTTATCACTGTTGTCTCTTTCTTGTCTCTTTCGCTTTTTCAGCATTTTCTGGAGAGGTACAAGGTAGATTATCAGCATTCGACATATTGCACTATAAACTACACCAGTTATTCACCAGTTAAATCAATCAACACTTTCGAAATCTCAACACAAATTCCGAAACTGACTCGTGACGTTTGTTATGATTTTATTGCAAAGCGTCCTGATTATTGAGGTGATTTACTTGATTATTGGTGTGTTGCTCTTTTCGTTCCATCTGAATCGTTTGCAGATAAAATAGTATATGTTATTTGGAGTAAAAGTGAGTTTATGTGGCGAAGCTGAACGTTCATTTTGCCGAACGGAGTGAGGCAAATGGATTCAGCTGAGCCACATAAACTCACTTTTACTCCTAATAACATAATCTACATAATCTTAGAATCATGAAATATACTTTATTAAACAGTAAAATGTGATAAAATAAAAATAATAATGGGTACCGAACTAAAAAAAATTGCATCTCAGACTCGCACCCACGACAACTATGATCTATTTCGCGTGTAATTTGGGAGGTGACACTAACGCAAACGTTACGTTTGCTACTCGGATTTCCAACACTAAATTATTGCCGTAAGGATATTTTCCAAATAAGTAGGATAAGGAAAGTCGTGTGATGTTCACACCAGATTTTTTAATTCAGTATCAATAAGCAAAAGTGATTTCTTAATGAAACCAAATAAATAATTTGTAGTTTGTCTGATATTTTACGAAAACTGATGCTTGATATTTTTTTTTTGAAAAAGTTGTAAATGGCAAATTAAATAATTTCATTATTAATTTTTATTCAATTCAAACAAGTAGACGTGCTACCTTTTTTTGAACTCGTGGCAGCCTTTCCAAAAAAAGAATATTTAAATCAAATTATTATTGAGATGTTTGCATCCAAGATATTGCAATCGCAAAGCAATTGATACAAATTTATGAATTTGTTTTTGCTAATAATTGTTCAGTTCAGTTAGTTTATTAAAACTAAATTAATCATCAACTTTTATTTTTGTGTATTAAAAAAAATCATAGGTATTGGAAAACTGTCTACCCTATTAATAAACAAATTATAACCAAAAAATTGCTTCTAACTTTAATACAATAATGTTTGCAAATTATTTTTGAATGCAAATAAAGCAAACACAGTTATAGTAAGAAAAAAATATCTACTACATAATAAATATACAATAATTGCAGATAAAAACCAATGATCTTTACAAAACAAATAATTATTTTTATCGAAAGTAAAATTCGTTGGTTTATTTGACAAAAAAAAATCGCATATAATTAAAAAAAAAAGCAAAATTTTATACTGAAAACACGATCACATTTTTTATACCACTTTAATTTTTATTAATTTATTTTCTAAGGACAAATATTAAAAAAACCTCTTAGTTCCATACTTTTGGTTCACCTCTTGTATGTACGAAATTCTGTGTATCAGTTTCGGGTAATTCTGATTTGGATAATGTATTTTTGGAATGGTTTTTGTAAATTAAAACCTCTACAGTTGCAGCTTTAGAGAATTGAAAAAAAAGCTGAAAAATTAAAACTTCCTTGATTCTCCAATTTAGAGCATATTTTTATTAGTACAAAATAAACGTAGGTAGTAGTTTTTTAAAGATTTTTTTCAAGAAAAAGTAACTTTTCACTTGATGCTTTGATTGAGATTGTTCTTGGCTCCCTATATGTTTTGCTTGTTTGTTGAAACTATTTTCAAGTTCCTCGATCCTGTGAAGGCCGATTTTACTTTCCAAGTCTCTATTACCGAGCGAAAATGTACCAGACACGCAACGTGCAATACTAGTTGCTCAGACGCGTCGGGATGCTGGGCAGGGCCGTCTTGTTGCGCTTGCGTTGACCAATCTTATCTTTCAGGCGCGCGGGTTGCCTGTTTTCAGTAGTTTTCAGGATGCGAGCCGAGCTTTCGAATTGTTACATTTGGCGCTCAACTTTCTCGCAACTGTTTAACTGAGTTCTCGGAACATTTTTTTATTTGAATTTCTATTGTAATTGTTGTTAATTAGATCGTATAGTGTTTGTCATACGAACAAATATGTGGAGTTATTCGTCCTGTAATAAACTTAGCGTAGTTTCAGTGTACAAACATGTGACTTAAGTCTTCGGTGAATTGTTGAACACAAACTGTCACAATCTTCGCATTATTTTAGCCGCAACATGAAAATAAGGTGAGCTTTTTTATTTTATATTAATTCAAAGCGAAAAATATATACATGTAGCGTCTCGTCTTTGTTTAATAAAACAATACAATATTTAAACTAGTGTGTACTAAGTCATTAGGTAATAATTAAGTCTGTTTTATCTCGTGAAGATAATTGTGTTATTAAAATATTATTTGCTGCGGGTGAATACCTCTTAATTAATATTCTCTCTAGTGGTGTTCTGTATGATTAGCGATAAGTGTTCGAAACGAGAGAAACGAGATGATCGATAATTTAATTACAAATTTTACCTATAAGCCTGGGAAATAATTTTAAATTCCACTTTAAATTCTTATCATCTTGGTAAAAATAATTTATTTCATCCATATTTGAAAGCTCTAAAAGCTTTTAAATTTTGAAAACAATTTCCTCAAAACGAATCGGATGAAAAGTTTGTTTAGGTTTAACATTGTTTGTTAAAGAGAAAAAAATGAGATAACATAAAATTTAATTAGAAAACAAAAGTTATAACTTTGACGTTTGATTAAATTTAGGATTTTTGAGACAGTTCCTAATTTATTTATTTATTAACCTTGACTTTGTAAGAAGTTTTGTTTATAAACATATTATATAGGGCATTGAGAAAATTTAACGTTGTGTACGGTGAGTTTATATTCTATTTACGGACAGTGGAGAGAATGCGGTATTGTGGGATGGAACTTCATATAAACGCAAACTGGGGAATTAATTTATTTTTATTTTGTAAACTATTTGACTTTGTATTAAGTTTCCATAATACACATCCTAACTGCTAAGATAAACTTAATTAGTATGGCCTGAAATTAATTCAAAAAAATAAAGCTTAAAAACTAAAAATTGTCAAACAAGATTTAACCTAGAATTTGTAACCCAACACCGGATGAAAAAATTTTGTGTCTCGTATTCCACCAACCTTTATTCTCAAGTTTTACTTCATTTAATTCAATATTTGTTCATTATAACTTTCTCCATTTTTCGACCCAATTCTATTGATTACATATCATCAAAAATTAAAGCAAACTGAGTAATTAAAGTTTTTAAAATGCTTTTAGTAAAGTTTAATAATTTTCTCGAGGGTACATCGATTAACTTTTTTAATCATGTCAGTACCACATGTCAGAAATTATTAATTGGGTCGTTTTTTTGTAAAAAAGTAAGCTTTCTAAACTTTAATGATAATGAATTTGAGTCCACGGTGACTTGAATATTATTAAAGTTGAAGCGTTAAACTAAGATAACAAAAGTTGTGACCGTTCTTTTAGAAATTTTGGTGGTTTATAAAGCAATAAAGGGCGTTAGGCACTTCTTATCAGGGGCGACATTTTGTGAAAAGTTATTTAAATCAGGTTGATGTAAGAGCCAATTTTTTCCTTAATTAACGCGTTGCTACACAGTGTGTACTTTGTTTCAGGGTTGTAATTTGATTTCCAGGGTAAACAATTGTACTAATTAACGCGGCGGAAGACTGTCGATATTATTTAATCATTAAAATAGAATTAAACATCTGAGACGAACAATGGGTTTAAATTTGGGGAAACAAATAAATAAACTTAATTAAATTGATTTACCTGTTTTATTGATTTTGTTACACAAATCTGTTTTTGTTTGTTGAAATGATTATGGTTTGCTTAAATCATCAAGTGTGTAACGTAAGATTTGTAAACTGATGCTCACCTGAATTGTATTCTAAATGTACCGGAATCCAGGTACAAATTATGTTTGCAGCATTTAAATTTATCCTTTTGTTGACCCCGATTTATAGAAATGACCGTTAGGACTCTCAAGGATTTACGTACAAGGACTCAGCTCAGATCCTTTGCTCTAAACTGTCTTTAAAGAGTCATGACCCCAACTAGAGTCCTTAAATGTTTGTAACTCGAGGAAAAGGGAAGACACCTTCATTAATTTAAATTGCACTTTAATTATTTTGCTATGGTTGTGTCGCAGGCGGCGTTAATTAAATCGAACCACTTTTTTGTTGATCACTTTAAACGGATTTTCTACCTGTGGAATAAGGAAACCGAATTCCATTTATTGGCAATAATTCCTTGTTGATTGTTTCTTTATATTAAACAAGTGTTAATTTAGTACTGGAAGAGAATGACAGAACAAAATAAACAACCTTTTTACAAAGAATGGAAACACCTTGGAGAATTTTACAAAGTTAAATTAGCTCGAGGTAAAACGAGGCTTATCGAGAATTCTCGGATGAATATCCTATCTAAACGAATAATTTGGGTTTTATGAGATATGACAGAAACTGCAGGAATTATAATATTCAAATATGTTTAAAACAAATTTAGAGTTGGTTTTACAAGAAATTTGAAACTTTTGGTCGTGTTTTTAAATGACTTTATTTATTTCAATGTGGCTATGAAAAAATAATTTTTGTTTAATTTTAAACTTTGAAAACTAATAAAAATATTTTGTTTATAATATTTTTTGTTCTTTTTGGAAAACAAATTTTCTGAAACTTACGTGAGCTTGTTATTTATTATAATTTTTAAAACAAAAATTTAGTATTTATTTAGCTTATTTATATAGAATTTCCATGTTTTCTTTATGTTAGTGTCCAATTTATTTGAAAACTTTTGTTACATATTAGTGTTCAAATGTAACACGCTTTCAGTTAAATTTCCGATCAAAGTAGTTTGTGACTTTGAAATTAAGTTGACATTATTGAATTATCTATAGACCCAAGACGTGAGACTTGTCAATTTTCATATATTTTTTTTCTAAATAATTTAATATTACCATATTGCCAAAGGTACTTTGATGAAAGATGTTTTACTCTCTGCTTTAAGTTTTATTTTTTGTTTAGAAAGTAATAAAAATGGGAATAAAACAGGACCACAATGGTGCAAGCACTGCAAGTAGATAAAGAATAAAAAAAAATAAATATCAGAGATAATAAATCTGGAGAAAATTAATAATTGTAAAATTATAATTGTTTTAAACAGGTTAAGACTGCTTTTGATTTTCTCAATTGGGTGAATGTGAACGCCCTATTTAATATTTCCGATTTCTTTCTTTTTCCAAAGCTCTGAAAGGTATAAAAATCGTCTTTTAGCTACAAAGTTGAAAAATAAGTCACCCTGAGCGTTTTATTTCTTTGTCAGCAGTCAAGTAATTTTTTGCGAAACACTAAAATCTCAGTCGGTGGTCATTCTGCTAAAAAAATCTTATCTGACGGTAATATTAAACATTTCGAATTGTGCTTCTAAAAAGCTCTTTCACTTTGATGTATGGTATACACGAAGTCAGAACCGGCGATCAGGTGGTCCATGAAAGCGTTGGCATTTGTTGGGAGATTGAGTTGAATCGAAAAAAAGCTCTCTGCTAGCATTTTCATCAACACAGTAAATTTTTATGAAATTTATTGATGATGAGCGTGACCTGTATGAAAAATGTGTGCGCGGCAAGGTCGAAGTGATTTATAAAGAAATTTTCAGATGGGTAATTTGATAATTACACTGTCTATAATTTTTTTTAAATTTTTATTTGGATTTGTAAAACCATTTTTGCCCGATTACTCTATTCGATTGTTTACTAGTTTGTTTCCAAGACAGTAAGTATTTACTCGTTGCTATCCTAAACTTGGCAGTAAGTATTTTGTTTATTGTTGCTAAGTCGGTAAGCATTCAAATATGTTCTATAACGCCAAAATATTTTGGCGCTATAGAACATTTTTTAGATATTTTATTAAAAAAACTAACAAAATTCAATCGCACAAAAAATGTAATAAGCATCACGAATGTTAAGGACTTCCCGAGCTCAGACAACAATTGTCTTCGATCGGTAAAATGTCCTTACCTTTCTTGATGCTTAATATACTATTAGTTTTTATTGGAAGGAGTTTAAAGTCAAATTGCAATTTATAAAGTTATTGTTCCAATAAGCACCCGCCTTTTGTGCACTTTGAAATAATAAATTTGACGTGACAATAACAAAATGTGGTTTTCAGAAACCTATTTCTCTAATTTGGATGTTGAAAATTATGAAAGAGTGAAATAAATCACTTTTAATTTGAGTGACATTTTGGCAAACGCATAGACAAGCGCCATCTATTATTCACTATATGTATTGTTAACAGTTATTTTATTAATAAGAAAATATGTTAATCTTTGTTTCAAAAAATATTGTGCATACGTGGATTTGCGAATACATATTCGGCGCATTCGCCCAAATGAAGGACTCATTCTTTCGTCGCTCGTGCTTCAAATAATGCACTCATGCGCGATGTATTCACTCATTCGCAATCGGTTCGTAAATAACTATTTCAAAATTTCATTTGCAATTTTCCCAAAATTTCTCTAAAATAAATAAAATACGTTTAAAATATTTGTATTTAGTACTCAAAAAAAGCATAAAGTACACCTTTAGTGTTGGAGAGTTATTAGTTAGAATTGTAATTAAAGGATTGCGAGCACTTCATTATTCATTCAATTTATTAATTTTGATCAAGAAATCGAAACTTAGTTGCTTATTACTGTTTCATAAACTACCAAGGATAGGTATAGGTGAATAGACACTGGGAATTAATTAGGGAAATGTCCATTTAATTGCTTAATTTACCCGAAACCCAAACCTGGAATTTGCAATCATCTTACCAAAACAATAAACACACACCAAACTCTACTTAAATTTAATTACTCGACCTTTTTTACATCAAACGTTGCTAATTATGCTTTAAAATAAAATTATATATGCGAATTGCAGTTGGTTTAATTTCACTCAAATTACAGTTTATTTCACCAATTTTTCTTCGTCGTAAACATCCCGTGTTGAAAATCAAACAAAAGTCAAAAATATTTACTTTGAAACGCCCACAAGTTTTTTTATCATTGCCAACCTACGAATGACAAAATTACGAGGGTGTGTAGTCTGGCGTAGGACATACTGTATAATTATGGCTCAGGCTTTTAAAGCAATTAAATGCGTATTTTAATTTTTTTAAAAGCTGACCAATGAAAATTAATCAAAGTATA